ACAACATATATATATGAACATATATATACTTCCATCCACATATCCACATATATACATAAACACACACACATGCAAATATATGTATGTATATATAATAATATATATATATATATATGTATGTATGTATGTATGTATGTATATGTACATACACAGACACACACTCACTCACACACATACACACACGTGCGCACATATATATGTATATATTTATACACACACACACACACACACACACATATATATATATATATATATATATATATATATATATATTTGCATATATATATATATATATATATGCATATATATATATATATATATATATATATATATATATATATATATACATGCATATACATTTATATATGTGTGTGTGTGTGTGAATTTGTGTGAGTGAGTGAGTGAGTGAGTGAGTGTGTGTGTGTGCGTGTGTGTGCGTGTGTGTGTGAATTTGTGTGAGTGTGTGTGTGTGTGTGTGTGTGTGTGTGTGTGTGTGTGTGTGTGTGTGTGTGTGTGTGTGTGTGTGTGTTGTGTGTGTGTGTGTGTGTGTGTGCATGTGTGTGTGTGCGCGCGTGTGTGTTTGTGTGACTCCTAAAGTTCAAACAGAAACAAACATGCAAACGACATTTTTCCTCTACACACCATTCACATGTAGAGCCTATTGTAATTTCTTATTTTCTCTCGCATTTTGCTAGTCTACTAGACAATTAAATTCTGTGTTTTTTCATCACCCGCTTTCTTTTGACGTTGTCGCTTTCCCCTGGCACGGAGGTTGCACGCGGCCGCCGTCTCAGGGCAGTCAACTGGGCCGTGCCTGAAATCGCTTGACCCAATGGCTGGTGCTTGAGTGGGCGTGGCCTGTCGCGCGTCAAGGTGTCTTCATCTAGAACCTGTAAAATATCCTAGACGATAGGAGTTATACTAACCGTTTAGACTTGAAGGTGAATGGAGCATAACCGTGTGAGGTTAGGCAAGCGGTCGCGGTAAGAATAACAGAGCTAACTACACCGTGGGCACCGATCATTAACTTTCTCCGGTGAGCCCAACCCCTTGCATGCCTCTCGCCTGGCTGTCGGCCTTCCCCGTGTCACTGGGTGTTGCTGCGCAGACATTGGCGAAATGTAAACAAACACAAAATTATCTTATGCAGATTAAAAAAAAAAAGCAAGGGCGAAATTCTATTGCATTTCCTTAGAGGCATCTATTTTTTTCCTTTACATCGAGATTCAAAGACAAGCCCCTAAACACGCACACACAAAAAATATTATTCGATCAACATTATGCAAATCGAAAATATGTCGCAACCTCTTCAGTGGAGATGACCTATATCAGCAACAATGTTCGTCGGCAATGTTAAACAGGGTGCATTGTGACCTACACAAAATGTGTTGTTGAACACAAACTATCAATTCCATTGTTATGAACTATGTAACCTTTTCCCAAGAGCTACAACAAGCACAAATAATTATTGTAAATGAGATGTCGAGATTTGAAATGCAAAATACTCAGAGACCTTCTCTGCCTTTCACGAGACAAACACGTAATGGCAGAAAATAACAAATCATTATCTTACAGTTAAATGCCTAAAAATGTAATTACGTGCCATGATTACCCAAACTTATCATCATTTTCACTGTATGGAGTTGACAGAGGCAATCAAAATCGAAGCTGTAATTATAATTTGACCAAACATTAACTCAAGATTTTTAATTTTTATTAGTGAAATAGATGACATCAATATTATGTTTTATCCCTTCTGTACCAGTTGTTACTGTATTCTTTTATAAATGTTCGTTTCTTTTGAAGTTAAGGACTGGATCTCAGGAATTTATTTTACAAGCCCTCTGAATCTTTGCAGAACAGGATTTTCTCTCTGTGATAAGCGTAGAGCATGCGAGGCGATAAGCTAAAAGGTTTTCTGCTACTTATTTGCCGGCGGACCAGGAATCAAAGTACGATTTTGAGAAAGGAAAGGTCATGACAGCAAATGTGCTTGCGGGCACTCCAGTACACCTGACGAGCCAGATTCTTTGCGATTCACATTTAGATTTTCATATCGAGAAGCTGCCTCTTACCATCGCGTGACTCACTTGTCAAGAAAATGACACATCTGGTAAGCAGGTTATTTTTAGATTATAGATTGAGGTGACTGACGTAAAAAATCTTTTAAAATCAGATTGTACTTTACGGTAGACTAAGATGAGTATAGTATTAATCATTACTGTATAAAGCGTTTCGCTATTTTATTGTAAATAACATACGAAGTCCTGTTCAGTGTGGCAGCAGCCTCGCTTCGCGCCGCGGATTCCGTCGATGGAAGTCGCAAAGGGGTTTACAACTAATCCCAAAGCGTATCTCCCGCAAACGATACACATCACGAGTTGGTGGCAGCGGCTGCTGGAAGTTACGTCACAGCTTACGTAGTTCTCCAGGTGGGAAGATCTCTAATCCTCTCGCCGTATCCGTCACGCTTGGAGTGTCTGTCTACCGTCGAACACTTTATTACTCTTACTGCGATAAGTGAATGGGTGGTTAATAGCCCTCTCGATTGCCTTGTGGGCGACGCGCAGTTTCTTTCATCAGAATTAACCACTGATAATAATTAAGGAACTGTCAGGGTTGCGAAACTGGTCTGGGTTAATAGGCCAAGAAATACATTTCCCAGCATAGAAGATATCGTAGCATCTTCGATGTAAACATTAAACACTCGCGAGAATTTTACGTGAACGGAATCAGTGCGGTTCTATTTGTTTTGTTTTTTAAGCCGTTTTATAAAGTCAGTTTGCTATTTGCTTTGTTTACAAAATACCGGCATATCTCTCCCTGCCAAGTTGGTTTTAATATTTCGGAAGTTGTAATGTTTGGGTGGCGCTATGCATATTACGGGCTAGCATTATTTCCTCAATGACCTACAAGTCAGGCCACCGACACAAATATCAACACTGCACCAGCTGAGAGGAACCCGCAGGTCTCCGTGACAGCCGCAGAGGGCAGCCGCCAGAGCAGGGAAGTGAAAGCTATCGTTGTGTTGATTCATTGTGCAATGTCATTAATGTCAACGGTTTACTTTCGCATTAAAAGTACGATGAAAAATAAAAAGGACGAGTGATGCGTAGCCCCATTGCCACGGCAAACGCCTAGGGCCGAGGGAGGACTGGCTCACGTGAGCCTTTTTAGCTTCCGACCGCAGCCTGGATCACGTTACTTCCTTTCCGTGTCGTGAAACGCGACTGGACTTATCTTTACCGAGGTGAGTCGGAACGAACTGTTATTTGTTTCACAGGTACTTCCACTGTTTGCATAGTTCTACTTCCTCTCATACATGAATACTCAAACATTAATTTAACTTTAAAAATAGCTGAAGCATCTATTTAGTAAAAGTCATGATATGTTTAAACTTTCACTGGTGTGAACAAGCAATAACTCTTGCCATGACAGAGACAAGAGATGGAATCGCACCGTGTACGCCCTATCTTTCCACGCCCCAACAACAGATATCCAGCTCCCATCACTTTCCTTATTTTTCCCCTTTTCTTTTTCTACACATGTCGCTCTTATATAAATGCTTTCATAAGCATTATCATATGTACGTTGCGTATCAGTCGAAAACAGTTTCTTTATCCCTAGCATAATGGTTCTTGCGTAACGATAAGCTCTGGTGAACATTGTCGTGCTTGGCGATATGGTAAAGAGCGTGTGGTTGTTTACTTGCGGGTTCGAGAGTTTCGTCCCTGCAAAAACTCTCTGATATTTTGATATCATCTGCAGCCTGGGATATCACCTCACTTGCAGCAAGATGTGGGGGAATAAAACCAAGACAAAATAAGGTCAACCTGCATCCTGAGTCGATGTGAATGCAAGGTGTACCAATGTTGAAGCTAAATAAATTGGATGGTATAAAATAGGAAGGTAGAGAGAATGTTGGGGCTGTCGTATTGCTATTTGCTTTTTAGTCACGTCCAACTATTTTCTCTTAATCCTCTTTTCCTTGTTTCAGGGGAGGATCCAGCATAATGCAAAGAGATCAGCATGCGACTGCAGTGGCTACGGTAAGCGCAAGCATAATCAAGTTAATTCCGTCTTTGTGATAACGAACGCCGCGATGACATTCCAAACCCTATCCTTATTGTACCGAATATTCGTGCTAGACTCACAGAGCGCTCTCTCCCCCAGTCTGCGGCACGCCCAACCGGGGCAGCCGCATCGTAGGAGGCACGGAGACAAACCCCGGCAAGTACCCTTGGCTCGTGTCCCTCTCCTACCGCGGGAAGCTCTACTGCGGCGCCACCCTCGTCAACGACCGGTACCTCGTCACGGCAGCTCATTGCATCAAACGGTATGTGGATGTGGGTAGAGGGGAGGGTGCCTTATACTGGTATCACAGATAATGGGTTTAAGCTTGAATAAAATCAGTTAAGGGTTTGTGAATCACTACCGCTTTATCAGGAAAAAATAACTCTAAATGGTCTTACCTAACAAAACACACGAAAATGAACCACACATCAAAAAATATATGCACTTGCCTACATTGCTTCGCCCTCCAGCGTGACCAAGAGCCGCGTGCAGATCGTGCTGGGGAGCCACAACAAGAGCGACATCCACGAGCCCTCCCGCCAAGTGCGCAAGGTGGGTGATTGGTGGGCGCACGAGGGCTTCGACAGGCGCACCTTCAACAACGACATCGGCGTCATCAAGCTCGACAGCCCCGTCGATATCACAAAATACGTCCGCCCTGTTTGCCTTCCCGCTCATGGTAAATAGAAATTGGATTCTTAACTTTCTTTTTTGCCTTATTCTGCATTTTGTTGTCATCCCTCCTCCTCTTCTCTTTGTGCATGTATGTGCGTCGGTTTTCCGCTCTCAGTCTTATCAATTCTATCCTTTCTAAGTCTGTTCTTCGTCCTTTTATGTATATCTCTTTCCTTTCCATTATTCTCCCCCCCCCCCTTTCTAGTCCTATGACAATGCAGTCATTGAGTTCGCAGCCGAATAAATTCCACCCGATGTGACCCCGCCTTCCCTCCCTCTCAGACCAGTCCTACGTGGGCGAGTTCGGCATCGTGCCCGGGTGGGGCCGCCTCTCGGAGAACGGCCAGTCCAGCGACGTGGTGCGGGAGGTGAAGGTCCCCATCATGAGCAACAGCGAGTGCAAGACAAAGAAGTACAACCCGTCCGAGATCACCGACAACATGATGTGCGCCGGCTATGACGCGGGGAAGATCGACGCCTGCCAGGTGAGGCTGACGGGCTAAAGGGAAAGCCAGCAGGAAGAGAGGCTTTTTAGTTCTAAGTAGCGACTAACAGTGAGTGACATACATCTTCACTGACATATCATTCTTGCGTAATAACGATTGTTATCATTTTCCCTATCATCACATTTGTTCTATGCTTGCTGTTGATTCCTCTTTGCCTAGAGGGTATTTACTGTTGTCGCTCGTTCATTTCAGTCTTTGTTAATTATCACAGAATGCACAAATCAACATGCACCACAGGTAAAACAACTGCATTGTCCTCTTAATCTGAGTACTACTTTAGGGAAATAATTTAAAATTTCGCCACATCCTCTTTATGAAATGCTAGTTTAATGTGACCTCTGATTCAGATAAAAAAAGTGCTATAACAATACCCAAAATAAAATTCGGTGTGGAAGAATAGCAGGAAGAATCATAAACATCCGCTGGGGCAACCCAAATGCAAAGCACAAATGACAATTATATGTGTATAGTAGTAGCGTAAAACTAAGATCTGAATGCAACTCTCATTATCCCATCACAGGGTGACAGCGGCGGCCCCATGCTGTGGGAGAGGGATGGAAGCTCACAGATCGATCTTATCGGTAAGTTTTGCGCCCAAGGGATTCCCTGTAAGACGCGAACAAGACTTAGTGACCTTTGTGTGGCTGTAAATCTTATTGATCATGTGTGTCTATTTGTGGTATGCATTTGGATATGTCACACCTGTTTCACCCATAATCAATACATATAGTGCGTGTATATGTACTTATTATATATGCATGCATACGTATATACATACATACACACATATAATATATATATATATATATATATATATATATATATATATATATATATATATATATATATATATATATATATATCATATATATATTTATATATATATATATATATATATATATATATATATATGTGTGTGTGTGTGTGTGTGTGTGTGTGTGTGTGTGTGTGTGTGTGTGTGTGTGTGTTACTAATAAGATGGCAAACTTAGCAATTGCTTCAATATAATGTAGAAAGAGGTGCCGCATAAGAAAAAAAATCACAGAAAATCCTTCTTGTCTAAGCGCCAACAATAAGTTACTGTTGTTATCCTTAAGATAATCTGAAATGATGAAGTTGTAAGTGGTTTCCAACTTTTTTTTTTTCATTCGGTGGCCCAGAACAATATGTAATAATCTCTATGGCCCCGTCCAGTGCCTGCCATCTTTTCAGATTCGGTTATTACTTTGTATGAATAGTGTAATGGTGTCAGTAGCTATAGAACAAGAACACTTTATGGATTCTAATTTATTGATCTGCGAGAGAAAATTATATGTAGGTACTATGGATAAGAGAGAGAGAGGGAAAGGTAAAATTCCATCTAATTAGACGTCATACTTTTCATACTGCCCCATGGCCCCTAAATTGGGAACCCATGTTTAAGCGACAAGCATTCCAGAAACGCGCCTTTGAAAATCTGAAAGACTGATAACCAAAATGTAGAGACAATAAAAGGAGCTACAGACAAATAGATACACAGATAAACAGGCAGGTATAGAGAGAGAGTAAGAGAGAGAGAGAGAGAGAGAGAGAGAGAGAGAGAGAGAGAGAGAGAGAGAGAGAGAGAGAGAGAGAGAGAGAGAGAGAGAGAGAGAGAGAAATGTAAAGGCTATCAAGTCTTCTGGTCATCATAAAAAAACGATGAAGTGATTTAATCAAAGACCCTTTCGTCGATAGGAAATAAAGTGTATACATAAAGCGCATACACAAATAAAATGTGTTTGATGGATAATTGTACATTGCAACTGGTAAGTTCCGGTAAGTAACGATACCTTATATATTCGACAGCCAACTATTTACTTTCATATATCGCCTGACAAGGTAGGTAATTCACCATATCTGAAGCAGCGCAAATTGATTAAACTGGTAAGTCACAATAAGTGATTCGATAAAGGACAAGCTATTCTGTTTACTGAACCTGATAGCAAGGTAAGTTGTAAGTACCCAATCTGTACAAGAATATTAGACATTATTGGAAAACTACCTGACGTCACCTGAGAAGGTAAACTGTTTTCCGAAAGACAGTCGAAATAAATAGCATGGATCACGGGAATTAGTCCGTCTTTGGAGAATTGGTAAGTAGTGACACCTAAAACCAGACAGTCACGAAGGAGGAAAGTCAGCAGGGCGGATCAGTCTAGAGTAAACAAACAGGAAGGTATGTGCGTAGAGTACCGGACGTGGGTCTCGGCGGTGGTGGTTCCAAGACCTTATGACGACACTGTAAAAAGTAACGACCACAACTCTGCTTTATAGTCGTGACGGTTTCCCAGATCTGACTCTGTGCAAGTTCTCCTCCTGTGACCCTGCTTAGTGGCTGTAGGCTGCTTTCGTGTACACTTTCGTTGTGAAGATGCATGCACACAAGCTTTGACCCTGCTTTTACGGTTACTACGACACTTCGCACGAGCTGTGCCTGCTGCCCGAGCTGTGACCCTGCCTCCCGACCCCAAGTGCTTGCCTAAAGACGACCACGTGACGTCCACTTATTCCAGCGTACCAACAGGTGACATCGACCAAACTTGCGTGACGTGACGACTTCTAAAGGTAGGACTCTTTCTAGTTTGTTCTCACGAGGCCTTTTCAAGGAGACGAGAGGAAATGAATCAGCGAATCTTCAATGCAATTTGAAAATGGGAGGCAATTATTCTTTCAAATGAAATTCACTTCTTTGCCCAATTTCAGGATATTGTGATGTTCTCTCCACTTCAACTGATATAGATGATTTCACAATTTTCTCGGCTTTCATTGTTCTGCTATCTCTATTGATATTGGTTAACAACTCTCACTGTTCTTCAGCCCACCTCCCCGTTAGAAGTACAGCCTCTGTAGGTCAAACGTTGCCTTTCCCTAACGGCGCTGTGTGTTGCAGGAGTGGTGTCTTGGGGCCAAGGCTGTGCACGTGCAGGATACCCAGGGATCTACACGCGCATCCAGAACTACAGGAACTTCATCGACGCATACATCAGGGAAGGCTGCTTCTGCTCCTCGCAGTAGAGCTCAAGCTGACCCAAGTCGTGGCCAGTTCCTCGAATTAACCATCAAGATTCTTCAACCAAGTGTTTATTGTGGCTGTTTGGTTCTTTTTGAGCTCCGGACTAAGGAGATCCACTGATTTAACTACATCATTCATCCAATGGCGCCTCGATATTCGTGATTTTCCCCCATCGTTTCTGCCATATCCATCCTAACCGGAGCCTTTTGCATTAGTGAACGGAATGCATCTACTGGTATATGAACCATCCACAGGCACTAGGTCTTAGAATCCCTTTTCTTGCATTTCACTATCCTATTTATTTATTCTAACATCTAGCATTAAGTGACCATTATTCTAAGTGCATAAACAATTGTATGTAGTACACCGCAGTAGAAACATAGCGCTTGTTCTTACACTTCCGGTGAAGTCGGACTACCTCACCTACTGAAGACTTCTACTAGTGTTCATTTATAGGCGTATAACATACTATCGAACAGCACATAATATGTACAAAACTTTTATCTCACCCAGAAATGAATCACGTGTTTGTCGAATGATGTGTGCGATTCATATTTAGATCCATGAAACTTGTACTGATTGTAGTAGATGAGAAGTTTGTGTTGAAGTGTGTTCTTCATTATACAACCAGAAAATGTATCTTGGTGAAGTTCATGGAGGAGTGTTTGTCTGTTTTGTCGAGTGCACAGCATGTCCTGGAGCCAAATGTTAAGGCTAAAATGGGCATAGTTATCTAGTCTTCCTTATGTAATAAAATGACCACGTGATATTAAGAACTGTGTTTGTCAGTTTGTTCCCCTTCTTGTGAAAATGATAAAGAGAAAAGGGCGAAGAAAAATATATAAAATAAAATGAAAAATAAATAACCACATTCATTGCAACTATACAGATGTATGCCCAACATCTGGTAAAATGAGGAAAAATAGACATGAAAAGAATAAAAGGAAATACTCATGTTAGGCTAGCTAATATTTCTTTTCCCCCCAAAAGTTGTCTATTGATCGCAATGGTTTTCAAGAAAATTTCGAAGACAAAGAGTTTCATTTGCTTGCATGCGTGCATAACCTTACACAAGTTCCCACGCCACTTGTCGAGCTCTATTCATATATTCTGATGGCAGTGCATTTCCTTTTGGTTCAGCAAATCGTGCACAAACGTGTTTTGAGGTAGCATTCGGTAAACACCTTCAGATGGGCCCTCAACTAATTCTGAGAGACTTTGATATAAATGTGCACCTGTTTATTCAATTGCTGTCGGTGTTTGTGGAGCTGAAGCGGGTCGGCTGTAAACATGGATATGTGGTCAGCAAGGCGGGACCCGGAGAGCATGAGTGAAGGAGACGACGGTATCCTTTCACTTTTCCGCCATAGCCATATACGACTCGAGCCCACTGCTGGCTGCAGTTTCTCGTTTCATGTCTGCCTGTTTCTCTCGCTTCTTAAACTAGCTGACAGTTTTTATCGTCATTTCTAGCATTAATGACGATCTACATTTACAATGTGTAGCTACATCCGTTTTTCTTGCCCCTTCTTACGTTAAGGTTATTACACGCAGTAAGTTCATCACGGTCTGTTTCCAACAGTGCACTTACACAGCTTTCTGCATTTTCTAAATCTTAAAAAGAATCTAGTAATATTTTGATAAACGCAAATTGTATACACGTCTTTATCGGCGATTACCGGTACATTTTTTACATTCTTTACTGAAAGAAGAGAAAAATACACATAATATTTCACACTTAATTTCCTTATTCACTAGCTTAGGGAAAATCACCCATTGTCTAGATTGTGACCAGGTGTAGCAATATGTACGTATAATCTTAAGCAACAGAGAATATTTCACTTATGATTATAATCATGTATGTAAATACTACGGCAGTGAGGAATCATATTGAATCGATTGTTGTACTGCCTTCAAATTTAGACTATCGAATAGTCCGGAGGGAATATATGAGCCGGGAACAAAGCTTGGGTAGACGTTATTGCCATGTCATGAAATGAATACTGAAACGAATTGACCGTCACGTTATTATAGATTACCCTGCACTTAACTGTAATATGCAGTGCACATTTCAGTTTGGCAAGGTTAATATTTAAGCATACAATAATCAAACACTATCATAAAATCAGTATATTCCCTAAAATGATTTTTTTTGGGGGGGGGCTGTTATCTAGTGGGAGTTGAGGTTTTGAAATAAATGTATCTAACATATCTAACCTTATATAGAGTGTGTGCTACCACCGTGTACAAGAACAGGAACCCTGATATCAGACAGCAACCGAGAGTTCTCAGTGAGGCATTTCCTCATGAGAAAGTCGCAACAGAAAAAAGTTCAAGCTTCATACCAACTTTTAAATTACCTATGAGTGAAAGCGTTCTCATGGCGATATGGACATTTGTACATCACAAATACATTCTAAACATTTCATGGTGATATGTAATATGTAATGAAATGATTAGTCTCCTTATTATGGAAATATCTACGGAAAAGATCAAATAATGATTGTATACATGCTTTATTTTCGATGTCTTTTATAGAAACCCAATATTTGAAGGTAGACTATAAAAAATAAAAATCAATCTTCAACCGTTTCTAAACCATGGAAAAAGTAAATGATAAAAAAACTGTAGAGCGCGCTTCTTAAAGTCTTAGTGCATCTAAAAAAAAAAACATGAACACCGTTAGCAGAAAATATCATAAATGAATATATGCATGTGCATTCCGAAAAACAAACAAACATAATTTTCACGTTCAACTAATGAAAAGGATTCCACAGGATAAAATAAACACAATCTTTTAGCCAGAAATATCGAAACATTATTTTAATTTTACCCAAACTGAAAAAAATCAACAGGATGCTTTCAAATAATATTCATCCTGGGTAATAATGAAAGTCGTAATAAATCCTTATTTTACTGTGAGTAATATATCCACTCTCACGAACTGGAAAAATGGGATGCATTTGATTATTACCATATGTTCACTCTGTATCACTATCAGTATTTTTTCCCAAGCAAAATAATCCAATATACAATATAGCTGAGGTCGAAGTCACTGTAATATCATGATTAAAAGGGTTTCCTTGTGAAAGATTGACAAAGGTAAGTTATACAGTTTAACCTATGAGACCCAGAATGGCCATTTCATTAGATGTACTGATGAATAAACAAGCTTACAAATAAGTAAATACTTGACTGCCGAGCGCTTTACTGGAATGGAAAGAATAATAATAATCTTACTTTTTTCGAAATAAACGTTTTGCGGATTTTTTCTACAAACGAAATAACCGTTTTTTTTTTTTTTTAACGAAGCGTTTTACGGCTTTTGCCTATACAAGTCTAGCAGTAATAACTACATTTAGCTGTGCATATATATCGATTTCTACCCCTGCAATGCAAAAATATATGCCGTAAAATATCCCTATTAAGCTATAGTAGCGATTTTTACGAATTAGAATTATAACTGGTACGGTACTTTTGTTAAAAGATTATAACCTTTTCGCGTATTGAAAGTGTCCCATATACATATATACATACATACATACATATATACATATATATATATAATATATTATAATATATATATTATTATATATATATATATTATATATACTTGTGCCTGACAGGGTTCGATTTAGTTTTGATAAAAGACGAAGGACAATCTATGTAAAATTCCTTGAGCCTCCCATTCATGACCTCTCTACTTTATTAACTATTTTGGTGCAGATATCTCTGTGACACATAAATGTTGAAAACATGCATCTAAAAGAAATATTTACACCTATTTACTACACATTTAGAATATCATGCGGCATGCATCTTTATATTCACCTTTTCTGACGTAACGGTTTTACGCGAGGAAATTTTGTTTGTTGTGTGTGTGTGTTGGTGGTGTGGTTGTGTGTGTGTGGGTGTGTGTTGGTGTGTGTGTTGGTGTGTGTGTGTGTGTGTTGTGTGTGTGTGTGTGTGTGTGTGTGTGTGTGTGTGCGTGCCCTGTGGCGTGGGTGCGTGCTGTGTGTGCGTGTGTGCGCGCGTGTGCGGCGTATGCTCGTGTGCTGGTGTGTGTGTGTGGTGTGTGTTTCTGTGTGTGTGTGTGTGTGTGTGTGTTGTGTGTGTGTGTGTGGGTGTGTGTGTGTGTGTGTGTGTGTGCGTGTGTGTGTGTGCCCGCGTGCTCGTGTGTGTGTGCATGCTCGTGTGTGTGTATGCTGTGT